TGAAGATGTCGGAGCACTACTTTTATATTAATGTGGTAGTTAGGTATTAGTACAACTATTATTCTCTAATTTTTTCAGATTTTTCGGTGAGGTGCGCCGTAGTTAAAAAAATCAAAAAACCGATTTTTTCGCGCAAAAAACTAACTTCTGCTTTGAATTTTTATGCCATTTTCCCATAAAAGATGCATTAAGTAATTTTAAGAGGATTCACGTTCACACAATTGATCTATGGATTACAACAATGCAATTAACTTAATTAATTAGTTTTATGGTACGTTCGGTATATGTATACTTAAATATTTGAAGGGCTTTGAACAACATCGGAGGCGCAGCGGTTATGGCGTCTGGCTCGTAAACCGTTGCATACTTTTTTTGACGCGGGTTCGATCCCACCCGAACTTATATTTTTTTTTTTCTTTAAATTGTTAATTTTTTTAATTCTAATTATAGAACAATGGATATTACTTATTTAAAAACATTTCTAACGCACTTTAGAAATATTTCAAGGTTTGTTTTTTTTTTCATTAGGGAAAGGGGTTTATTTACGCACAGTCTATACGTTCTTAGACTAGTGTGGGACTCCGACGTTAATCGCAGACTACCCAGTAAAGTCCCAACTACCTGTTGAAATAAAAATTTTTAATTTGGTTACAGCTTCTAAGGCTGTTACTGACTGCTTTTACAATTGCTCATGCAGTACGGGGACTCAATTATTTCTTTGAAACATCTTTTTTATTATTGCCATAATTAACGGGATTATTTAAAAAAATCAAAATGATTTTATGCGAGCGCCCTAGTCTACGAGCATTTTTCCGAACAATAACTTTATCCTTCTTAAACGCTAAAATACCATTCTCCCCTTCGGCCAAATATCTACCACGTGGCATTGTTCAACAAAGAGTATTGTCAAATTTTTATTTGTTTAATAAAGAATGTATTAGGTTGGGGAATAAGTTCGTGGCGTTTTGACATTTTCTTTTTTTACAGCGACATTTTGCAATTTGCAAGAAGTTATAATATTCATTCGATAGAGCTCTTTCTGCTCTACAAAACTGTGTTAATCGTTTTTTTCAGTAGATTCATTCGTCATTACTATTGAGGCTCAGAAATGGAATATACAGGAGGTAAAAATTAGCACTTTCGACACCTGCTCTTCTTCGCTTTCCATCGCGGCCAAAAAGCTGCTAAAGCAGCCCGGGATATTTGCAATGTATGCGGAGAAGGTGTCATAGGTGAG